ACTGAAGCCACCTTCAGTTGGTGCTTGTTTGTGGCTCTCCCACCCTTCAGTTCTGTCTTTAATAACAGAACAGCATGCTCTACTGGCATTTAGTGGCTGAGATCAGGTGACTGACTCGACCAGTGAAGAATATCCCATTTCTTTGCCTTGAGAAAAACTTGGGGTGCTTTTGCAGCACACTTTGGGTCATTGTCCATTTGCACTGCGAAGAGCTGCCCGATCAGTTTTACAGCATTTGAATGTGAATCTGAGAAGAGAGTACAGCCCTGTACACTTCACAGTTTATCCTGCTGCTTCTGTCAGCGGCCACATCATCAATAAACCAATGGAGACCCTGTTCCATTGGCAGCCATGCATGCCCATGCCATAACTATCTCTGCTATGTTTGACAGATGATCAGATGATGGGTCACACTATAGATCAGGGTGTCCTGCAGGTTTTAGATGCGTCCTTGATCCAACACAGCTGATTTAAATGCTAAAATTGCCTCCTCAACATGTCTTGAAGTTCCCCAGAGGCCTGGTAATGAACTAATCATCGTAATTAAATTGTGTTGACACAGCGTGAGATCTAAAGCCTGCAGGACACCGGCCCTTGAGGCCTGGAGTTCCCCACCCCTGCTATAGATCATGAACTGGTCTCAATTAGACGTTTCGTTTCCTGTCATTCTGGTACAATTCAAACCCTTTGAGACGTTTCTTGATTGTAGACTTTAACAGTGTTACTCCTACCGCCCTAAGAATGTTCTTCACATGGTTAGATGCTGTGAAGTTGTTTTTCTTAACCATCATCCTGCACCTCAGTTGTCTTCTATGGTCTTTCAGGCCTTTTGGTGTTGCTGAGCTGGTCAGAATGGTAAGAATGAGCTAAATTGTTGTGGTGGCCACTCCTAAAGTTGTTGCTATCTCTCTGATAGGTCTAGTTTAGTTTTTTGATCTAATGGTGACCTCCTTCATTTACATGGACATTTCTTTGGACCTCATATTTAAAGATTTCAGTGACCCTAATGAAAGATCATAACTTGGAATTCAGCACTTTAAACAGCGTAATTTGTCACTGAATAAAATGAGCGCCTGACCTGATCATGAAACTGTTTGTCAGTCAATTGTTCAGTTATGTTTGAGTCTCTGAAAATGTGGGAACTTGTATAAAAATGGCTGTCATTCCTAAACAGTTTAGGCGATACTTTTGTTAAACTTTTGCTAATAATTTATGATCCTGACATAAACAATTAGAGCTTCATTTACAAAATAAACATAATCTTGTCTTGAGTGTGACTTACAGGTAGCGATTGAGACTGAAACGTGTGTACTAAAGTCATAAATGAAGTAAGAAGTAGGGACGTCTTCTCATAGACTTCTATAGAATCAGACGGCTTTATGTAGCCACATGTGTCGCCCACTTCTGGGCATTAGAAAGAATGCAGATTCCACATTTTCGGACATAATATTATTAAAATGCAAGCCTTACTGAAATGCTGAAATAAGAAAATCCAATGGTTAAGATTTTGATTGGATTTTCATGTGTTTAAAAGAAAAAATATATCTTGAAAATGTGTTTGTCATCCTCATTCTTGGAATTCTTAGGCCAAAATAATTTGGGAATCTGGAGTCATACACCTATAATACATAAAAAGAAATACAGAGGAAGCACAGGCTAAACTTTTCAGAAGGAGTCATCAAAGAAGGGCATGTCTGAAGATGAAATTTTCCGTGGCTAAATGTGAGGATAATGTCCTATACAGACTTTAAGAGAGGCTTAATGTTTGAACGATCGAGCGAAAGCGAAACGAATCCAAGCATGGCATAATCAGAAACAGCTGATAAGTAAAAAATAAATAACACTGAGGGGGGAAAAGAAGAGGATTAGGAATGAAGAGAGAAAATGAAGAAGACGGACACAACAGGAAAGGAGCTTCAACCGGGGTCAGGCAGTGACTCTGAGATCAGTGGGGCTTGGTGCCTTGGGGAAAGATAGAAAACGGAGACAGAGAGGAGCTGGAAGAGCGTAAATCCCAGGAGAGAGATGGAAGAGACCAGAACATGATGGATACTTGCTGGCACACAGAGAAACACACATTTCCCATAATTAGCATGCTAAACGGCAGTTAAATGTCCCACACAAAGGCTTACTGTTGGGCCTCATTTGCTCACTCTGGAGACAATGCACAATGGGAGTCAGTGGGAGCCCCCAAATCACCCTAATAGCCAACGTGGCCCAGCACGGCTTCTCCTGTTTTACCATTCCAAGGATTGCGCTCATTCACTCACTCACTGACTCGCTAATGAAAAGCCGATAGCCTCGAGGCCCGAGGTTACTGAGCAGCTTGCCCCTTCATCCTCCTGTCCCTCTTTTCATTTTCAATGCTTCTCCACTTCTCCTGTGGCTCAGAGGTCGCCTGTTTTTGCTGTCAGGATTCTTGTGCATGGGAAATGCTTTAGACTGACAGACAGAGATGGCATATAATTAAGAAGTCGGTGAGAAGACAGGAAAGTTGAGAGAAATTATTTAATCAGAAACCCACAAAATGCATTTTGGATATTAGTATATTAACATCAGCTGTGAGGTCTCACAACTCTTAATGTTGTAAGCAGCCCATCAGTGTGACCCCTTTTATTAAGCACCCATATTTGCAGAAATAACTTATGCACTGAGAAGCTGGATTCCCTTTATAGTTACTCATCAAATGTGTAACATTAGGAGGTCTGCTCTGTATTTAGACCTGAAAGACACTACACCCTGCTGAATTGCAAATCAGTGGATCAGTTTTACATCATTAAGACTCCAAAAAGGATATATTTATCTCTCTATGTGATTCTAAATTGGCCATAGTCAGTGTGTAGGACTGATCTTTGACTGTGACTTAAAATCAACTTCCATTGATTGATCGACCAAATGACATCAACATACCATTGCTTGTTTGTGTCATGTTGGATTTTCTGCATTTTTACGTTATCAGAAGCAGTAATTTTGCATAGTTGGATAAGATTCATTGAGAGTTTGCATCTAGACACGCTTGACTAGAAGTGTAAAAGATTGCTGGTACTGCTGTCCATGAAGTTATTAGAAGCCAGTCAGTTTTCTTCCCTCTTTGCACACAATCTTTTCCATCAAACTAGAATGTCACCGATGAAAAAGGTCCAGTCAAGAACAAATTTCTAGTACTTGTCCAGCAGAGGGCGCTGGCTTCCATTGCACAAGAAGTTCCAGTACTTGCATTAATTTTGCAAACTTTCTTGGCTAAATTATCATGAAGTCATCAGATCTGGAAAGTTTGGAAGTCTCCGAGACTAGAATATTTCAAAAGTGTTATGTCTCCATCCTACAATGTTGTTTTGAATTGATCCGATTCCAAAATAGTTTTAAAGCTTTATAAATACATCTGAGAAAACACAGCATATTTATATTTCCTAAATATGTAAGTGACTGAATTTCTGTAGTTTAATCTTCATTTTGACAGCAGACAAATGCCTTGCTTCCCAAATCAATCCTTATCCCCTCTTTCCTACATACAGAAATAGGTTGTTATTCCTGCACTATTATTATGTTATTTCTGCCACACAAATGAAATATGACAGATTAAAACGAATAAACAGTAAATACTTTTTTATATAAGTTAAAAAAAAAAAAACTACTTTAAGCGTCATCAGTTGAGGTTGTTTCGCTGCTTCCTCTCATCCGTCTGTTACTTTTTTGTTCATCACAATGCATGATGGTATAGTGTCCCTGGACATTGAACAGAGAACTTCAAATATAACCTTAGATCATCTCTTTTAGTCACTAAATACTGCAGATATTTTGAGTTGTCAGAGTTTAGGATTGCACAGGTGTATCGATAATAGCTGAAGTCCACTTGGCCTGCTTTTGTGCAGGATTTCTGTCATAGCTTTACGGGATACTTAAGAGAATCCAGCTATCACTAACTCCACCCGTGCTTTGCATACAGAAACAAAATGTGTGCTTTATATGTGTAAATGACCTATTTTGGATAAAAAAAATTACCCTTAGGGGGCTTCAGTTGTCAATCGGGTCCTTTGATTCAAACAAATATGCATTTAAAGATAATGATCAGTCTAGTTTGACGTGCTTGCTTTCATTCCGAGTTTCTGCCGATATTCCTTTGATTTTCTTTTGTCTGGTCAAACCATCCATCTCAGAGGCAAACACAACAGACATGTGACTCTGGATGGATGCACACTTTAGAGCCCTTTGAACATTTATCAGTCACTAGGATTGTGCTTTGTAGCACTGAAAGCTAATCATGTGATATGTACCATGGCCTGCTGTGATTACTGTCATTTGAAAATATAGCTGCTTTTTGGGGGGTCAGATATTTTTAATGCAGCAGGAAATGCTGCTGTGAGTTTAAAGCGTGTACCTTTTGAATCATTCAAACATAACTTGTGTCTTCTCATCAGTGAAACCTCTAATGAGGTTCATAAAAGTTTTCCTGTTAATAAAAAACAATCCTATAAAAAGAACCTCACATTTCCAGGACATAAGTTTAAAAAAGACCAAAACCCATCAAAATCTGAGTCACATTTTCTCTCTGTTTATCAAGTGATATGTTATAATGATGATGCTTTCAGCTCTCTGGCACCATTGTGGTGTCCCTTGTGGGATGCCACACCCAGGGCAATGCCCTTTAGTGCAAAAAGGCAGACATTTGAAATTACATCAAACTATCTGAGGCCAAAACTCTTGTTTTTCCAGTGATATATTTCTTTTTTATAGTTTTGCCTTTAAGAAAAACAAAATTATAAATTTAGGTTGCACTTAAAAGCAGCAATACACTTCTCGTGTGATGGAAACGCCTGCAGAGGCATCTAGTGGCTGCGGAGAGGAATGGCAAACAGTGCAGAGGAGTTCAGTGCATACACTAGAAAGGAGTGAGTGTGTGTGTGTGTGTGTGTGTGTGTGTGTGTGTGTGTGTGTGTGTGTGTGTGTGTGTGTGTGTGTGTGTGTGTGTGTGAGAGAGAGAGAGAAAGCAGAGAACAGCATTACAGACATAATTACAGAAATATTTATTTGCAACATCAAAAATTGTACAAGAAAGAATAAAGTGCTTTGTACTTCAGGGTTTTTTGTTTTTTTGTTTTTTGTTTTTAAATCTTTTCAGCTTATTTCAGTCTGACAGTAGTTTGCTCAGTGCGTGTGTTAATCCCCAAGGAAGGAATGGAAAATCATTTGATTTCTACAAAGCAGGAAGACTTTATAGCAAAGGATACAAAACACTTACTTGTTAAGTTAACACCCATTCTTGTCAAGTATTACACAATCCAGAACTGACATTGCATAAAGACTTTTATACACTGCCAGTCAAAACCTTGTGAAAAATGTGTTTTCACTTTTTTATTTTTAAAATAACTTAAGAATTTCAGAGTAACTTAAAATTGTATTTTTTTTGCCCATGTTCATGTCAAAATAATCTGTACACAAGTATAGAAAGTTAACAACATTTTAATCAGAATCTGATGACATTTAAATATGGAGAACCAAAACCAACAATGTATATGTCTCAATAAATAAATATAAAGTAAAATTTCAGAAATTACACGAACAACCACACTAAAAAAAAGTCAGAATCAGAAGTCCAGAACTCCAATTTTACTTGTTTATTGCATCTCGGTGGCTCACCTGCTTTCAGTAACTAAATGAATATGCCATCAAATGTGCCAAATCAGGCACATTTTCATTTAATATGTTAATTTAATTAAGTAATGTTTTGGTCCTCCGTATTTTAAGGTGTCCTTGTCAAATCAAATTCACACAATTGTAAAATTTGAATTTAAGTGTGTTAAATATGCATTTCATATGAATGTTTGAGAAAATTATTATGGATACAGTAATTTCAGTCTTATTTACAAGATGTACCAGGGCAAACAAAAAAACATTTACACCAAAACTTGCACTGTACTGTCAAAAACATTTATAAATATGAATAAACATGATGATAAACGTGAAACTGATATGCACATCAAAGTGTAAGTTATTTAAAAGTCAGTTATGTTTGTATTTTTTATTTTGTCATCCTGCAGTGTTGAATTCATTAAACCATAGTAAGTATTTTACTTTGGCTGGCAGTGTATGTTTGTCAGTTGAGTTGCTTTACATATGCTTTGTATAATCCTAGTTATCTGGATTGAGAATTTTGACAATAAAACATTATGAAAACTAAAACTATTTACTGTTTGTTGCTCAGATGCACATCGTTTCTACATCCAGTCTCTCTCCCACACATTCACATTAATACAAAACAAACACGCCTGCTAGCAGTCAGCAAAAAAAAAAAAAATTAAACTCATAAAAGTCTCAATAAACAAAACAAAACAATAAGATAAAATAAAATAAAATAAAAACCATCAGACTGAATATTGTAGTCGGTACAGTCTGATTACTGCATGTAAAAGCCACGGGGTAAACATATTACAAATATTTGTTCAGGCCTCAGTCTGAAACTAATTGATGGGAAATATTTGACGATACAATCAGTAAAGTAAATAATGTTTATTTACAGGTATTTTAGTATTTTCCATGGTAAACTTTTATCATCTATCATATCATTTGGCTCTCTCAGCATGCTTTCCCAGTAAATATTGGAAACTTATTTCTCATGTCATCTATCATACAATCATCATGTCAACTTTGTCTGCAACAATTCATAAGACATCAGTAATAATCCCGTCCACCCACATCCAAATACTTATTGCACTTCCTGAGACTGCACAAACAGCCTCCGTCCCTTTGTTTCCTGTTGTGCTTCCTACTATCATAGACGCAAGTACTGTACACGGGCCACTGTTATCCAACACCACACCTTTCTTTGGCGGACAGTAACAGAGCAAATGTGTTTTGAAGCCGATTCTCAGTATTGATTCTGTAATCACAGCCTGCAACCTCCGCAAGAAACAAACCAAGAAAGAAATCCTCAGAAGGAGCGATCAAGAAATCTGCACAGTAAAAACAAAATCTGTAAAAATACAGTGAAATGTGCTGGTTTAAAATGAAATCATTTTCCATATGAACTTTTTAAGGATTTTTTCCTGTATTTTTTAATCACACAATAATTTTACCAGTTACCAAATACGCAAACCTCCATTAAAAATGTAATGGCAGAAAATTACCAGGACATTTTCCCCTTCTTCTTTTTTTTACACAATTTTTTATAGTGTACTCTGCTTTTTAATCATTATCCTAACTTAATAAAGTTATTTTAGTCTTGATACACTAATAAAATTAAGCATTTTAACAAATCAACTTTAAGCTCAAAACTATGTTTTAAACATTAGATTTTAAATCCAGTGACATCCCTCTAAGTTTATCTTAAGGAAACTTTATTACGTTCTTCAGGAAACATCTTTTGTTACACTTAGTGATTGCACTTAGAATTTTTTTTGCTACTGTACAAAATCAAAAAGTTTATCAATAATGTATGCTAAATAACTTATTATAGGGCAGTTTTAGGAAATATACTTGAATGAACGTTTATATAGAAGATTCTCTCCTGTAAATTTCAACATTTGCAGCGCACAAATATTTTCCATTTCAATGTACATTTGTAAGTCAAATATTCTGACTTCTTTCAGCAGTAGAAACAAGCTTCAATACAAATGGGAATATAAAAGACAATGTGGGAAACTATTGCCAGCATGATGATCCACGAACCAGCTGAAGTTTATCGAGCATAAAACTTGAAGAACTTCGGTTCTCTTCATAAAGAGAATTCAAATCAGAATTGCTATTTCTTTCATAAAATATATTGTTTATGTTCACATAGAAATTAAGTTAAGATAAAGAACATTTTAATTATGCAAAATATACATTTCTTAGTCCAAGTTTGTGGGCTTTTCTGCCACTGTGCTTTCCTTTGTCAAATCATAATAAAAGAGCCAAAATCCTGTCGGGAGCCAAAATAAAAAAAGCCAGACTTATTCTGCACAAAGAACCTTTGACAAAAGCTCTAAGAAATTCCATCACAAAACTATTTAGGAAACATTTCGTACTTTTGAGCCACTGAATGTGAATATAAAATAACACTGGAAAGGCAAAAGGGGTATGGGACATGCAGAAAACAGGTCCAGAAACAGGAGGAGCATGGGAGACCATACCCTCCCCCTTCTCACTGAATCTCTTGCTCGCTCTTATAGGTCACTGGATCAAGAGGAATTGCAGTCTGTAAGATATCAAACTCCATCTGGTTATTGTCCATGTCAAGAACACACATGACATTGTGACTGCCTGAAGTCACGGTCGAGTTGTCGTGGAACATATTTTGGAAGTCAACAGAAACTGAAGTCCTTCTCTCCTCTGCCCTCTCCTTCCCTACAATCTGAGAAGAGTCAAATATATCATCCTCTTCCTCCCCACAGCTCAATGCCACCTCGTTCTCATAGCAGAAAGCGTTAAGTGACATGGGGATCAAGTCTTTTGTGGCTCTGCATGCAGACGCAGGAGAAGCAGCGGAAGAAGCCTTGCTCGCAGCTTCATCCAGCTCTTTGGCGCTGAGATGGGGCATTGATGGCACCTCGTATGTCTTGTGAAAGCGTGCGTAGTCTACCTTGTAGCGGTCGCGGTCCTCGTAGATCACAGGCTCAAACCTGTGGCCCCAGAAGATCTCTCTGGAAAGGTAGGAGCTACGGAACTGGGTGGTCATGGCTGTGGCCTCCACCATTCCTTCCAGGATCACAACGACCTCAAAGTCATCTGCCTCCAGATCAGCTCGGCTCAGAGTATACAAGGGGCTATCTTTGTCTATCTCGTGGACTATAACCAGTGGAGATACTAGAAACAGCCTGTCTGTGCCCTCATCATAGCCCACATTGAGGTCCATCTGCTCTAAAGGGATGAATTCGCCCTCAGCTGTGACATACGAACGTATGAGCTGGGCACGGACGTGAGCCTCCACAATGTGGCTCTTCCGCAGGTTCCCCACCCTCCACATGAGGCACAGCTTGCCATCACGCAGCGCAATGACAGCATTTTTGGAGAACATGAGGGTCTGGTTCCTCTTCTTTGGCCGAGCCATCTTGGCCATAATGGTGCCAATCATGAAAGAGTCAATGATGCAGCCTACTATGGACTGTATCACCACTGTTATTACAGCAACAGGGCACTCCTCGGTAACACAGCGCCATCCGTAACCGATAGTAGTTTGGGTCTCCATGGAGAACAGGAGCGCCCCAATAAACCCCTGAACATGAAGTATGCAGGGCATCCTTTGTGCTTGCTCTCCAGTTGTATGTCCAGATGTGGCTCCGTGCAGACCTCCAGGTGTCAGTCCATCACCCTTCAGTGTAGGGTGCTCTTCAAAGTCCCCATGTGCCAGGGCAACAGTGTAAAAGATTAAACCAAAAAACAGCCAGGAGACAAGAAAGCTGGTGCAGAATACAGCCAACAGGTATCTCCAGCGGATGTCCACACAGGTGGTGAAGATGTCAGCTAGAAAGCGCTGCCCCTTTTCTTCCATGTTGGTGAACACAACGTTACATTGTCCATTTTTCTTCACAAATCGGCTCCGTACTTGGTTGGAGCCCCTTGTCAGAACCTTTCCGTTGTAGTTGTTCATCACTCCTTGCTCCGTCGTGCTGGGCACGATAGCGGAGGTTCCTGACCTCCTCCTGTCTTCTCCTTCTGAGGTGCAGGCCAAGTGCAGTCTGAATCTGGGTGAACTGTGGCCGTTATGGAGTCCTAAGCTAGAAATCTTTTGCCTTTCTTCCTCTGGTAAAGTATCAGACACAATGCTGTACCTGTCAGGAAAAAAAGGGACTTGGATTAAAAATTGTATTTTTTTTTTTCTTTTATTCTTAGTTGATTGTGGCGTACTGTGCAAAACTCTTTTCTTTATCTGTTGCTTCCAATTAGCTCCAGAATTTCCAATTCCAATTTTTGAAGGGGTGTTGAGAAATAGTTCTCTGGGTTTCTGAAGCTCTTTTCAAAGTTTGTCCTTAGACATTGGCTGCTTTTTTTTTACTCATTCTCAGTCCAGTCAGATTGGAAGGTCAGCATCAAGTAACATTTATGACTCCAGTCATAAAACAAAACATATATTGAACTCAGAGTCACAAATGGTCTACTTAAATTGACCAAACTCATCTTCACCTGAGTGTATCAGCATCTCCTTTACATAGAGGATTACCTGCTAGGAAGGTGAGTTCAATTTAGCTGCGTGAGAAGGATCGCTGTCATCACAGATTATAGGATTATACGTGACTCAGTGTCAGTCAGACAAATCATTTTGGGATGGACATGCCTGTACTGTGGGGGCACTTCATCATATGTAAATGAGTGTTAACACTCTATTAATCATTCATTGACCCACTGACACTTGAGAGCTCTGTTTGAGAGATGCTAAGTTTATGTTGACAATGACAAATCGATGTTATGTGTTGTTTTTCTTGGGTGGGGATGTGAGCGGTTGTGGTGCTGGGGGTAAACATCATGCTGATTCGCAAGACACAAAACTGTAAGACAAAATGAAATCCATAAGAACCGCCTTGGTATATTTAAGTCACAACAAGCAGTTAAAGAAGAAAGAAATTAGGTGTTGTGTGTTCAAAAGATAAGGTGTCCGACTATTGATTTACACACAGAATGGAAAAAAATGAACATAGTGCATAGTACATCAAGGCAACCTCCTTCTTCACTGTGCGAGACCTGCTGCAGCTACCTGAAGCCGAGAGCTCTTCATGTGCCGCTGGTCAGGACAGCGTAGGACGGCCTTGGCCTTTTCTAAGGATCTGCTTACTGTAAATATCCCTGAGCTGGTCCTGACTCATCCTGCCAACCCAAATTAACAAGCCCATTCTCACCGGACGGTTGGATACTTCTAAACCAACCAACGTTCAAATTAAAAAAGGATGAAATTGTTTCAGTGAACGCAGCAGTCTTTGATCCTCTACAAATTAGTCAGGAAATAATGAGATGAAGCTGAGAATTCAAAGATAGCTGCCCAAACAGAGCTGATACAGTAATAATGAGATGCTACAATTCCAGCAACACCAAGTAAAATGAGTTCAAAGACCAATGGTCCGCATCAGTAAATTTACATCAGGCTGATATTACTGGGCTCACCTGTTGGCTCTACTTGTTCCCATGGCACCAGTGATCACAGGTAGAGGGCCACAGTGGGAGGCCAAACTGTGTCCTACTCCCAAACATCTGGTCTCTTCACAGCAGGTGGTGTTCAGGCCACTGAAGAGACCCCTGGAAGAAGCATAAAATTCAATAGAAACTGTCATGTGATGGTTGCTGTCTTGCTTTTTTAAACAAACCTCACCACATTTAATATTTTGCATAATAGTAATGCATGAGTGGAAAATCTGAGGAATAGTAGTCTATGCATGGTTTTGGTTTTGTGAGTTAAAATGTGGTTCCCATGAGGATGCATGAGTGTAACAGACAAAGCAAAAAGAAGTCATCTGAAGTTTTAAAGTCTTCTCACTGACAAAGACATCAACCACAGCCTGGCATCACACACTGAAGAAGGCAGCATATTTTGTTTAATTTAAGGAGCATTTTCTTTCTTTTTAATTACAGAAAATGGACTGAAACTGAAAACCTGTGCCTTTTTTCCCAAGACATCCCAGGCTTGTTGTCATTTGCTTTGTTATCAAATGCTAATGCTGATAAAATGCACCTCTACTTCTTTACAATAAAAAAAACTGATTTCTTTTTTCTTTTTTTAAAAGTTTTAGTCCACTTGCAATCACATGAAGGGATCTGTGGCCTATGAACTAAAATGAGTTTGACAGATACTTTGGCAACCTAGCAAAATTACATGTTACAAACCTGATTGCAGCCAGTGTGTTATATTACTGCTACACCCAGACCAAGAGATCAAGGATAGTAGCATGAACTTACCTCCCACCCCTCCAAGACTCACATACCTTACTATGACACAGTTTATTTGCATTTTGTGTTCACCATTGTGCTTTTATTTTCTCAGAAGCTTTTCAGACTTAATGAAATCCAGTCAGACAAGTCATTTGAAATTTTTTGAACAATGCGTTTACTATTAAACTCTCTCTTTGTATCTATTTAGCACATCTGCAATGTCAGAGAGCTGTTTGTGAGACTATTCGTATCTTATGCATCTTTAATTGAAAATAAAAGTTTATGCAGTTATTTGTTTAAGACATATGGGGCCCGATCTAAAGGCGCAAAACTGTCTATATCTGTCTATAGTGTAGCTTATATCGATAATATAACACTATATCGGGCATCAGAATCAAATGCATGTGTTGAGCTGAGTTTTTTTTTTTTTACGTGATTTCTAGTTCAAAATATAGTAAAATAAGAGAATAAATTAGCAAAGTGACACTGACTTTTCTTGAATTTTCAGGTGTCACATGAAACTGTATTTTTGTTTCTCTGTAAGATGGGGTCGGAGGCTTTAATCATTTCTTCTAATCAACCAGAGAGTTCACTGGAAACCACATACACATAGAGAAATGTCTGTAAGTGCTGATTGCAGGGATTCGATTTTTAATAAGTAGTGTGTGTCTGCCTCCACTCAGGCTAACTTCCAGCTAACAGCATGATTTTGCAGATCTCCTAGCTTGTGTCTGTTTCAGTGAGCCAGCAGTGTATAAGCTCTAAGGCTTCCCTTTGAGTGCAAAAGGTTTCTAAGCTGTAATGAACAGGAGGGCTGGCAGAGTGCAGGTACCAAAGTGTTGAAGCAGTGATGAGACACACACAATACAAACCAGTTAATGGTCACCACCTAAAACTGGGGATTTTTTTTTCTGATGTCAGTTTCCATAGGAACACATCTCCTCTGGCATTTAGGGGATGGAGGGAAGTGGAGAGAGTCACCAGCTGTGTGTGTGCGTGGAGGGGGGCAGTATTAAGTGCTCTTATAAAATGAGTCAGAGAGGGAGGGAGGGGTGGAATGAGAGAAAGGGGGCAAGGGCAGGAACACAACAGCTACATGTGACTTTAAATATGTTTAAATGGGCGCTAAGAGGTGACACTCAGTGCAGGCTTTTGATCTGCATCACTGAGTGAAAACACAAATGAGGACGAGAGGAGCCCTGCAGAGTTTGGATGTTTTACTTTCGCCTGCCTATTTCCCAAATAAGTTCATACTGCACTGAGGGCAATAGAACCACACTGATCACAAAAATATGAATGATAAAATTTCAAAAAGACATATTTTCTCGCATTTTACATTTTTAGCATATGTCTGGAAAATAATCCAGATTAAAACGTTATAAGAAGGAAGAGTCTCTGTTAAAGCTTGTGTATGAGTTGTGCAAATATAGGGTATGTTTATGGTTTCATTTCCTCACATATGAGGATTTAGTTCTTTTTTTTTGCCTTTTTTTAAACATGCAAAATCAAACGTACCTTTTGAATTTAGATTTTTGGTCTAATTACTGTATTCAATTGTAGATTAAGGGTGCCATTATCTGACTCATTCATATTGAAGTAATTTTTGGTTGGAACCCTGCTGTAATTATGAATATATTGTTTGTATATATGTTTGTATATAGCACATTTTGCACATGCAAATGCAGACATGTTGCTTCGCAACTTGGGGACTTTCTGGCTATTAGACTCAGCAAAGATTAAAAAAAGAGGTAAGTGAGCTGGGTGATAAGAAGGAAATTAGGATGCTCAAGTGTTCATTTCCCCGAAAGCTTTTGATAATGGCCCCTGATGAGATAAACGACATTGTCAGCCACTAAGAAAAGTAATATTTTCAGTGCGAATGCCAGAGCTTTATATCAGATGTCAGACATGCTTTAAATCAGATACAGCCTCAGATGAAGCAGTCATCATGCACAAGGATCTTGATCGCTGGTCATCATGCGTTGATTGTTGAAAACAGGAAAGTGGCTTCAGTGTCCTTAAAAGACTTTGTGAACAAATGCAAATGACATTGCATATAAATGTTTTCTGCATGAAGACAAAATTAGAAGTAAACTGAAAACTACTCAAATACAACAAGCTAGCCTTCAAACTCTGTATATACAGGAACTATTTTTCAATTGTTGCCTTAAACTATCATTTATTTTCACTGTCGTGGAATTTGATTATTCAGGTTTTGATCAATAACTTTGATAATCTTATCAAAAAGACTGTTTTTAGTTAGTCATCCCACTTCTCTTTGCTTCTCTTTCTTCTGTGAAAGCTAATCAATACATACCCTGGTTTCACCTCAGTACCTACAAAGCATCAGCAGTAGCCATGAAGAGAATTATTCCCACGCTATCTTCACATCCCAGACATCCTCCATCTTGGCTTCAATTCAGATTTGTTTGGGGTTTTTTTTCCTATTTTGTCCTATTTTAATTTTTGCATAACATATTGTATTTTCTGGTTCACGATTCAGGCCGGTTATACAAACTGACCACATGATCATTTTGCAACACATCGGGTTGAAAGTGATGACAAAGTTTTAAAAGCAGCAATGACACTTAGTCACAGGTCACATTTACCTTGATCCCACCTAACTTCTCTTTATTCTCATGAGCAGATAGAGAAAGGTCACTATGGCGACTGCTCATCTGCAGCAGCTCAAGTCTATTGACCATTTAAAGTTAGTTGTCTGATATCTCAGTCATGTCTCTGAACAATGTAGTCAGTTTTTTTGGAATAAAATGTCTCACTACAGTTTATTCAATTTAACTGACCTAAAGGATTACCAGCGTTTATTAGCCTGACGAGACTAGGTCACAGTGATGTAATCGAGGATAATTAATCAATTTGTCCTTCATACAAACTAAGAAGTTTTATTTTATATTAAAGTTCCTGCACACTGTTGTCCACATGTTTAGCATTTTCTGCAAAAGAAAATGTGTTTGCATCATTATGAAGATTGTGTCAGAGGATCCCTTCAACTTCTTCCATCTTTGTGGAGCCATCAGTGGATAATTTGTTCCCTTTTCCTTCACTTTACTCTGCAGATGTGGAAGATACAATGAGGCTGTTCCTCTCCTTTTTCTGAAGGCTCCAGAAACAATGATTCCCTTCTGATGAGATTGCATAAAAACATAAGACAGGTGCGTAAGAAGATCAACAGGTGGACAGCATCACTGTCTTCGGGCATATTTATACCTGATGATTCTTGATATGTCTTCATGTGATGCATTTAAGCTTCGCCAGGGTTGTAGAGATTTGCAGTGTTTGAATGACTAGTGTGACCTAACCCTACACAGCAGTTTCCATGATGCCCGAGCTTTGAGTACGTCTGACGCAGTGCTTATTCTGGGTTGATCTCTGCGAAACAGTGCGCTGTCCGCATGCAAAACTAAAAGCTGCTCTTCATGTCTGTCATCAGAGGTTACCAAAGTTCTAAAATACAAGCAAAGTTATCACATAAATGTATTCAAAGTTCGGTTTATCAAACTGTTTTTCAGCAAATCTTTCTGATACTTAAATATTGGCATTTGAGCAGGAGTTACTCTCACCTTGCAAATGATCAGTTGTTTCCTTTCTTTTGCTTGTACTTTTAGTTCGCTCTCACTCTGCGGGGCAAAGCTCCAACGTCCTTAAGTTCATAAGGTGTGTGACAACTTCTTTAATTCTTCCTTTCTTTGAATAGTTTCCTCTAGTTACTCCTTCATCGCTTATTCATCGTTTCATCCCCGCCGTGTCTCTCCTTCAATCCTTTCCTGTCCTCCGCTGCCTCCTTCGCTGATGGTAATCCTGTCTGTGCGCACCCTCCTCTGCTACTGTACTCATACGCCACAGCCTGAAAACGCTGTGTCAATCTCCCCTCTGCTGTGCATGGGGGGAGGGAGGGGGAGGTGGATGGAGAGGAGAGGAGAGGAGAGGAGAGGAGAGGAGAGGAGAGGAGAGGAGAGGAGAGGAGAGGAGAGGAGAGGAGAGGAGAAAAAAAGCAAAAGAAAGTAAGAGAGGAAGGAGAGGAAATGACACTAAATGGATATCCACTTGGTGTGCTCTCAGCTTATGTAGGTGTTGAGTAATGCCTGATGTGCCCATGTAAGCAAGCAGGAACTCATTTGAGTCATGATTTCTGAAGTAAGTCTATTCAAGGAACAAAAATGGCAACAGGTGGGAGACAAAAATATGGGGTCTTGGAGATTAAGCAAGTTGCCAACACAGTTTAAAACTGTGCATCACCCTGATGATTACAGGGCTGTTGCCGCAAATTGCACTTTGACGGTAAATGCTTTCCATTTACTCCCGAACAGCTGTGCTAGAGATGTTTTCCAGCTTGTTGGTAACACCTGACAAAGGTTATAACAACAGTGAGCTACGAAAGGCAGAGAGCGCTGGATTTAAGCTTTGAAACTTTGTCCATGTCCCTGTGTTTAGTTTAACTTTAACTGTGATAAAGCAGCAGGCTTCCTCTCACATACTGTGGTCATTCCAGAAGGAGTGCAAATTTGTTACCTAAGTGCTGAAAGTGTTGTTTGACCTGAATCTGAGCAGAATGTGTGATTAATCTCAGTAATATATTGAAAATTCTCATTTTTAAATCATAATTATAATAATAATCATATTTTACTGCAAATCTTTAATTTGATATTCCTGAACTTCCAACTTAATGATGCAGTATGACTGAGCATATGGTGTGTTCACTATTGGGCTATTATTTCAAAGTAACAATGATCAGCGAGTTAATACAGATACGTCTATACATTTTGTAGCTTTGCCTCTGTACACTATCACAGTGATTGCAGATCAAATAGTCAACGCAGACTTTCAGCTTTAATTCAAAGGGTTTAACAAAACGACTGCATTAACTCATTACTAATAATCGCAGTATCTTAGCTGTTCCTAGGACTGCACTCTTCTGGAAAGAAATCTTGGGTGTTGTTCCTGGGATCTGCTGGAGCCACTCGCGCTGCTTGGGGGTCACTGCCCTGAGTGCTCAGATTACCACTGGGGCCACTGTTACATTTACCCTTGACATCTTCTTAAACTCTTCTCTGAGTCCTTGGTACTTCTCCAACTTCTTGTGTTCCCTCTTCCTGATGTTGCTGTCATTCAGTATCGCCACATTTATCACTACAGCCAACTTCCTCTGTTTGTCTACCACCACTATGTCCGATCGGTTAGCTATCACCATTTTGTCTGTCTGCATGTCCACCCTTGGGGGCGTCTCCCATTTTGACCTCGGGACTTCCATGTATGCCCTGCCTGCTAGCATCTTGCACCCTGCTGTGCTTCCATGATCAGTGCCTCTGTGCTGTCTTTAAGCCCAGCTTTGTCCAGCCACTGGTTGGATTTCTGGATGTCAGCCACCTCCTCTATCTGCCGGTGATACTTACCATGCAGGGCTCTGTCCTTCCATGATGGTTCCTCCTCTTCCTCCTTTTTCTTGGGTTTCTGCAGCTTGAAGTATTCACTGCGCACACAGTCAGTCGTGGCCATCTTCCTGATGTTCGATGTCTCATCCTGGACTGTGGTTCTAGCACTCTGGCCTCCTTCCTTCTGCTTAGTGCACAGCCTCAGGGTCCTGGACTATAAACCATCCATGCATGGTCAGGAGCTTCCTTGCCTGCTGATAGAGATAGTGGCTTCTATCTCCTCCTTTAGCCAACTTATTATCCCTGCAGGGTAACTGATCACGGGCAGAGCTTAGGTGTTGATGGCCCGGATCTTGTTCTTTCCATTCAACTGACTCCTCAGGACTTGCCTGATCCTCTTCAGGTACTTGGTAGTTGCAGCTTTCCTAGCGGCCTCTTCTTGGTTCCCATTTCCCTTAACAGCATGGTCACTTTGTTGGCCTACCACTGTGGTCCAGACAGGAACAATTTAAAATCACATTTCTATTCACATTTGTACAAATATTAATGATCCTCCAAAAATAAATCCGACTTGCCTTACTGAAATGTTATGACTTTTTATAACCAGAACTTCAGTTGTTTTGTTTTTTTCTGCTTCTCAGTGAAATTCTCAATGTCTACTCAGCAGAGTGACTCCTAATTTTCTTCAGACATTCATGATTTCGAAACAGTGAATCATGATGAATTACAGTCATTATGATTCACTGACTGGACACCATAAATGTCTGTACAACATTACATTCTTCCTTTTCTCTACCATGATAATAGGCTATTTATGTTTTTGAGTTGAAAGTCCTAATATTGAACCGACTGTCATGAAATTACAGACAACTACAGGATACTTTGGGATACTTCTGTTTGTGACTACACCTGTAAAACCACTGTTGCTGCAGAGCCTCTGCACCCCTTCAGGAATAATTATAGAGGAGTAAACAGAATATATTTCCTGAAACACAGCAGAGTGGAGTTTCCAAAAATGAAAATGGAAACTAATATAGTTTCAGTCTGAGGGAAGCAGCAGACCTCAAACTCCCCTCAACAGTTTCAATGTACTTTTCAGACCTTCTTTTGTCTGTTTGCACGATTTAAAAGAAAAATCTCAGGAGACGTTTGCTAGTTTAGCTGCCTTCATGCAGAATCCGCATCACTATATCAGATATTAAACTGAGCAAAGCTGTTTCTATGGAAACCTTCTTCCTCCCAGTCCACCTTCACCCTTAGCTCCTCTTTAGGCCCCTCACTCCTCCGTGCTTTTCTCTAAGTCTTGCTCTCCTCCTCTTCTACCTAAATTATAGAGCAGGAGTCAGTGGAGGGGTGCTTCATTTCAAAATCTCCTCCTTTGAATACAGATGTGGGTGTTGCATTTGCTCAGATGAGAAACAAGGAGGAGGACGGAGACATGTTGCTATTAGGAGCAGCGACATAGAGATAAACAGAAGCTGGAGTCAAGGTTTCTAAAGTTAATAGACACAGCGAAAGCAATGAAACATTTCAAAGGCCAGTCTAAGAGGGCAAAGACTAAAACAACAACAAAAAAAACAGGAAAAAAGAAAGTCCAATACACATAAAGTACACAAAAGCTTCACCAAAGGATTATTGCCACACAAGAGCAGGAAAAAGCACCAAGAAACTTGAATGCATTAGCATTAAATGGCAGGCACACATTAACATTCATAATTAGTTTGAATTAGACCACTGTGTAGGTCTGTTCCTTTAAGTATAATGTACTGAAATGCTAATATACACAATATAAATCTAAACCACAAATAAACAAAGTAGAATGGTTTAAACAAGGGGTGTCAATCTAACTTTATACAGTATGCTCCAGTTTGGTTAATTTAAGGGGGCCAGACCAGTTAACTGATGCATAATGACCTACCTTTCTTTTAATGTAAAGGAACACAAGTAAGCATTCACATTTGGTAAGCTCACTATGTACAGCACAAGTGACAAACAGCTGTTTATCTTAGCTGTTTTTTTTTAACTTTCCGTGTGCAGTACTGTACAAAACTCTTGAGCCAAATCTCTTTTTTATATATATTTTGGGAAATAGCTGCAGGCAAAACAGAGTTTGCACAAATTTAACAAGCTTAAAAGTCAATATTTGGTGTGACCACCTTTATTAGCCAACACAGTCTGAACTCTCTTAGGCAGCTTTCGTGTCATTTCTTTAAGAAGTCTTCAGGAATAGTTCTCCGGGTTACTTGAAGGACCTTCAATTCTATTCTTTGGATGTTGGCTGCATTTTTTTTTTTATCACTACATGATCACACACTTCATCAATAATTTTGAAGTCCGGGCTCTGGGGAGGCCAATCCATGACTGATGGTGTTCAAGTTTGTGTTTTTTTTTATATCCATGTGTATTTTTACTGCATTGGCAGTCTGTTAGAGATCAATGTCATGTTGAAATATAAAGCCACTACCAATTAATGGCAGTGCTAATAAATTTAGCTGTATTTTGTGACAGGATATTGCTTGTTTAAGTGCCTACAATTTAAAGGTTATTTATTGGTTTATAGGGTATTTGCTAAGTTGTCTGTTATGTGTAGACACAACATGGGTTCATCTCTTGAGTTGGGAGCTATTTTACGATTTAACAAACAAAAAAGCATATCTCTAAATTGTCAGATACACGAGCTGGAGGTTGAGTGAAAACCAGTGTCCGAAGAAGAACTTTGAAAGACCTGTCTATGTAGTAAACTTAAAAAACAAACAAATATTTAAACATTTAAGACATTAAAATCTCTCTGTAAAATCTCTAGCCTTTGGAGGGCCAGTTCTAGTCCACTACCCGCATGTTTAACAACTCAACTTTAAACCATCCAGTTGGTCTGATCCTTATAAGGTAGAAATACACTGCTATAAATATTTTTTCCCCCATATTTCAAATAAAAACAAACCTCTAGTGGACTGCTGAAACTTATATACAGTTAATTTTTAATTTCTAAAGACAATAACAGCCCTTAGTCACAGCTGGTGTCATTTCTACTAGCTGACAGGAGCCATTGTCATGGAGCATTGATGGTTTTGAACTGGATGCAGTTCTAGTGCAGTAGCTATGTGTGGCGAGAGAAAGAGAGGAGACAGAGGCTTGCAGACAGGATGATCCGACATTCACACCGTCCAGCAGAAGATGACCAGGCAGACAGACTCTCTGGGGCAGACCAGGCTGTGTGTATGTATAAATAGCTATTAATCGGGCCTGGGTGTCAGATTAGTTCCCATAACCTTTTGCTCAGCACACACTTGTTATGGGAGTATGGGTCAGCTCTGTCCAGGGGATGTCCTTTGTGGTACATTTGCTTCTATCATTCAGCCGATGAACATTCATCAATGTGTTTATAAGACTGGAACTAATGGACTAATATAGCATACATTAAGTTTTCTTCCATTTCTCCTTTAATTTGCTCATTGAGAACTTTTGCTTTCTCG